CAGGGCTGCTCTCAATACATTCTCCTCCCAGTCTGTAATACTCCTTTCCAAACACAGAAGGTTGGGTTTTTTTCATACCAGTTAAAAAATTCCTGCAGTTAATTCCAGGTTCTGTTACAGACTGATATATGCCATTTAGCAACTCTCTTAGGAAATAATTTTTAAAATATGGTAAGTGTAATTGTGCCTATGAAATATGTTTGTTGCTAAAATTCTAAATATTTGTATTTATATAACAAACGTTACTAGATCAATATTTAACATTAATATTACACTATTTGAATATTAGCTGCCAAATTTCCCTTTGTCAGTGAAGACAGAATTGTAACTGATATTTGCATGTTTGCTATCTCTGCTTCAGTAACTGAAAGAATCATCTCTGCAACTTCAATTTACAACTGCACATATACTTTGCATGGATATTGCGGTCATAAAAAAAGAAATATATATTGTTCTATTTTAGGATTATACTAATATATTCACTTATTTGTATAAAGTATTCTGAGGACCCATCATTCCTTCTATCAACCCTTAAAAAGACAAAACTCTGAAAAGTTTGGGCAGTTGAGGCCAGAAAGGCACTAATTTCCCTTTGCCTTTGGTAACTACTTACAAATTATTTCCCATTGTTCATAGTATAAGTAATGTTTTAAAAAGTCAACACACTTTCAATATATTGTTTACATACAGTACACATGATATGTCATTGAAGTATTTTTATGTCAAAACATTTTAAAAGTATAGAACAAACTGCAAATTTTCTAGCTGCGTTACATTTTACAAGGACATACACAACTCCAGGAATTCAAGTTATTTAAATTCTGCCTTTCTTTCTTTCTAGGTCAGGAACTAAATTATGGTCCCCACAAGTTTCAGAAGATGGCAAAGCACATCCCTTCAAGATAAATTTGGAAGCTGAACCACAGGTATGAATTCTTAAACATTACCTAACCATTTCCACTTACTTCTTCACACTCTAAATGATCTCCCTTGTGGTCATTAAAATTCTTTGCATAGCACTTTATCTATTATCTGACAGTTTAAGTTAATATGAACCATCATGATTATGATATGTATGAACATCATTTTATCTGACTGAATGTTTTTGATTTTTCAGCTACAACTGAAACAAAACATTAACAAGTTACAACAGATAACTCATTTTTCTTTAAAACTCTACATATCACCATAGTTTTATTATGCTAAACTATTCTAGGAATGATTTACGTTTTAGATTGAATTCTTTCATCCAAGAACATCCATCACTGATCTCTCTGTGGAAAAAAATACAGCTTTTTTTTCTACGGCTGCTGAAATTTTAAATACAATTTTACTGCACGGTCGCAAGGCCCAGCAGTGTGTACACCAGTAGTGAGAACAGCGCAGCGTCACAGTTGCTTTAACCTCAGACGAAAAATCATTGCTCAACCCTAGCCCGTGGCGTTGAGGTCTTGGAGATGGTGATGTGAACCATGGAGATGGTTATGTGAAATCTGATAAACAACTAAATAGTGTGACTACTTGCAGCTATTGGAACAAGGAACCTCTACACTGTAGCAAACTTTTGCATTAGGCTGAGCATCCCCAAAGAGTCATTTGGAAACTGATACAGGCAATTGTTCCAGAACAATGAAAGCTCTTGCTATATTTTCCTCTGAGAAGAGGAAACTGAGGCAACAATTGTGATAAATAACTTAAAACAGTAAGTGCTGGACTGAGAGCACTCTGAGAAGATACACATTCCCACATAAGAGCCAGCCACCTAATTTTGTTAGTCTGGAGCAGCCTGTAGAGTGATGGATAAATAATAGGAAATAATAGACTACTTAAAGTATTACTAATACAACCGCATCGCACTCTGTATAAAAGCAATTTAGAACATAAGGTTCTCAAAGAACAAAATTAGGAAGAGAAAATAAAACAGTCTAAATGGTGAACTGTATCTCACAAAATTATTTTTTAAATCCCTCTGCTGTATTGTCAGTGTAAAACAATACTATGACCTGTAAATTTGTTCTCAGTTACAATCCCTTTAACCTCATCTACAATGAAACTGTTTCCATTATCACAATTTCTAGAATTGTTTTTATTTGGGCTTTTCTTTTTTGCTTCTATCTTTGACTTTGAACACTGTGTTCAGTGTGACTAGGCTTTTGGCTATGAAAGACATTATACATTCCTGGGAGATATATACGATGCACATAAATAAGTATAAAAATATTTTTTAAAAAATACACCATTCAGAAGTAAGTTTATAGTCTAGTACTGCTTATAATTGTTTTGAAACAATGTAACTGTGCTAGTCTATTTTTGAGGCCCTATCCCCTCTTCCCTAACAGCATTCAGCGACAGAGATTTTTAGTCACATGATACCTCCAAAATGTAAACATCTGTGTACTGTCATAGCAATTATGCCTAAGGAATGCCATCATATGGTCCGTGTTGGATGCCTTTTGACAGACTTTGGGGGCTACATACATACCATTTCTGATACCTATATCAATGTAAAATGTAGTTAGCCCTGCAAAAAAGGCCATCAGTCAGCTAGAAAAAAATTAAGAAACGCAATGCTGTAATTCTTGAATATTCCTGATTAGGAATTTCAACAACCTCCAGTTCTCATTTAGCTTTTGAACTAAAAGAGGACTTTTCACACATTCAATGAGATCCAATAAACACAAGAGCTGGACTATTTTTGGTGCTGTATGTTCTGTCACTGATATCTTATATGAATACACAAGTTAAAAAGAAAATGGAAGTTGAGTCTAACTAACTGCAAATGCTTCACAACTGTTATGTTGTAAACATACTACAATGGTGCCATGTCTTCTGTGCTGTTCTTTCGTCAACAAGAAATAAAAAAAGGGGATGAAATTACGATGTCCAGTAGTTTTGTTTGTTTTGCATCATACATGAGTTTAAATACATTTTCAATATCTGGGCATTATTATCCTTCATTAAGTAGACACGATCCTAAACACCATCAGATTATTTCCATTTACTAATACATTTTGTTAACTGCAACCCAGTCTATCAGGCAGAAACAAGGAATTGCAAGTAAAATCTTTGTGCTCATTTATATGATTGCTGCTTTCAGTAGCCTCTTACAGTGCCATGCTACTAAACATTTTCATTTAATAAACCTGCTTTTTACTGTCTGCATTTGCTGGTTGCACATTCTATATCGCCATGACTTTTCTTTAGGTCTGTTCCTAAATATATGTCTGAAACTGTTGTTTTAAATGAAAACAAAAGGGCCAATTCACATTCAGGTTTTCTTATATTTTATAAATAATTCACCAAACATTGAACAGAGACTTGATATTGTCTGAGACAGGACATTATCAAATTCTAAGGAATGAATAAAAATCTACAGATCTCAAAAATGGGTCCAAGTCTATCTAACCTGCTCTTACTATCTTGATTTATTCTGTGGGTTTGATTATGCAAATATCTATTTTGGGTTTTAGTAATAGGTTGTATATGTTCTAACGGGATTTTTTTTTCTAGCATTCCTAAAGGCTGAAGTAATTGCTTAAAAAAAGAGCATTTCTGCATTAAAAAAAAAAAAAAACAAACAAACCCAAAAACATTCAGAGTTTTATTTAGCAGAAGGAGACTAGTTTGTATAACTTGCAAGACATAAGTGAAAACCACCATTGCATCGGAATAATTTTAAAGCTGAAGAGGTTGGATTTGTCACCATTAAAAATACGTGATAGCAAATACCAGACAGCGTAAACTTCACAGTGATTAAGCCCAAAGCTCTGGTACCTACAATAAAAGCTTCGACAATTTGAAATAAACCTATGCAGCAGTAAGAGGATGTTGTCCACAGGTCATATCACACAGCGGGATAGCAACATACCTAGAGAAGTGGCCTTTAGCATTGTAGATGCATTCCTAGTACACCTACTGCACTCAGAAAACAGAGCCGAAGCAAAGAATTGGCAAAGATTTCTATGAAAATTGACGTATTAATGATCTGTGTTATCTTAACATTGCAAGTCCTGGTCTCTAAAGAAGAGACCAATTCAGATAGTAGAAATAAATTTGTTAGGAAAAAGAGCTTTTTATTACATGTTCAAGTTCAAGTGCTCTGGCAGCACTGCCTCCAAAGAATGCTGCAGGATGTCAGGAAAAGGTGATAAGGCTACAGCAGCAAACATTCTTCATCAACTAGTGCAGAAGGAAAAAAAAAAAATCCTCAGCAGATGACAGCACTATTTTTTCCAAAGTCCGTATTTCTGTGAATTAGGGATGGACCTGAGCTGAGAGGGACTCAACAGAGACTGTACTACACAGGCAAAATACAAATAAGTGAATTTTCACAGTCTTCATCCCTTCTGGCCCATCGCTACAAAAGAACATTATACGTTATCTGAAAGGTAATCAGAGCTTTGTTTCCACATCTCATCCCTATGAATTCCACAACTGGAGGAAATTATCTGGGCCAACAGTAAACAGAATAGGTATCCCAAGTAATAAACAAACATAGGCAGTATGATTTCCAACTTACCCATTTCTGGGTTTTACTTATTTATGATGATTTTGCATTATCTTTAAATGATAAAGCATCACCATTGTTGATGCACAGGTATGCTTCAAAGCATGGAGTAAGTTCAGAAGAATGACCTCAATCTGATGTACATTCAAGACTATTTCTGTTAAAAGAAGTGTTAAAAAACACATGGTTTTAAGCAAGAGGTTTGCAATAAAATCATCATACTTTTGCAAGTCCCTCCATCAGTATGTGACACAAAAAAGCAGAAGCCAGAGATTAGCAAAGCAATTAAGCTAAATATACATCAGTTTTTTTCTAAAAGAAGAAAGTACAGGGTGCAAAAATCTAGAGAACCATATGACAGGTTACTATAATATTCATCCCTCCAATTTCTTCTTCTAGCTGCATGCTATTTACAAACGTGAAATGCCTTCTGTTTGCCCTGAGGCAGGAAAACAATAGTCTCTGAATGTGTATGGCTCTCATGGCGTATAGAAAAACTCATGGAAAAATATAGTGTGCTTGCACCAGTTCAAAAATAACAAAGTCGCAAAAGTAAAAAATGCCGAGATTAACAATACTGATGATGTCAGGTTTACTCATTACTAGCTTTGGTGTGCATTGTAGCTTTGTGTATTTTGTCTGCCTATCATGTACAGGAATTCAAGCCTATTGGTACAGCTCACAACAGAAGGGCCCAGCCTTTTGTTGCGGCAGCAAATATTGATGACAAAAGACAGGTAGTGAGCTCCTCCTATAATTCTCCAATTGGGCTGTATTCATCTGGCAATATTCAAGATGCGCTTCACGGACAACTGAGGGGTCTCATTCCTAACTCATCGCAAACGTGAGTACTGGTATTTACTTCTAATACATGGTCATTTGTGGTCTATCACTCCATGTTTTGTTTTCCATTAAAAAGTCCAGCTCTTGCTGTTTTTTACTGATAATCAGGAGTTTGTTGATTATCCCAAGAAAGGATGATAAAGGAAACAATTTTTTCCAACACTGAAAAATACCCATTCAGCTCTGTCGTAGCAACACCGCAGGTAGCCAAAATCTGCCCTCTCTGTTGGGCTGCCACACTACCTACCCATCCTTCTCTCTTGTAACTGCTCTTTACTCTGAATGTGTTTGACACTACAGTGAGTGTATGTTGAGTACCAGGAATGTACAAGCTAAACACAGTTACAATTTTAAAACTTTGTTAGCTACTTTTTACCTAGAAATTTAGCGTTTATAGGCCAAAGAAATTATTTTAACCCTCTTTTCTTTACAGGATATGAACTACTTTGAACACAAGCATAATATTCGGCCCAAACCTTTCATAGTCTCAGGCCGAAGCAGGTTATAAACTCTGAGTGCTGTGCTGGATTTGGATGCATGGTGTTACTTTTTTTAATGGATACTCACCATTCACATTAATAAACCTACGGATGCATTTGAAATTTACTTATAGTAGTATATAGCCTAACACTGGTATTGAAAAAAAATATTTAAATGGTTGACTTGCAGAGATCAGGCTTGAAATTCAAATTTCAATTTCCAAAAGAAAGCGGGTCCACACTCCCATCTCAGTTATACTGGTATGAGTCTGAAGTCACTGTATTCGTGAACCTTGTCCAGTTTACAGCGGAGCACCAGATATCGTATCCTTCTAAATCTATGGCGCCCTGAAATTCTTCTCTTCAAATACAAATACATGTAATCTGTTAACTTGCTAAATAAAAGATAGCTGGTCATATAAATTATCTAGGCCATGCAGACATTTTCAGTTTGATTTTCAGCAGACCTCTGTTCAGAAGCCAACCTAATGCAGAGCTAAAACAGAACTATCTGATGCCACAGACATGCAAAGCTCTCAAATGCAGAAAAGCTTATATGTTTACATCTACCATGCTAGTGTAATATTCTTCTGTCATAACTGGGGATGAAATATCTCAATATTCATTACATTATTAAATACAGAGGGGGCAACACCGATGAAAAATCTGTGGCTAAAAACGCCAGGAGTCTCGGAAGTGCCCGCGTCATGCAGTAGACTGTGATGTTACCCTTTATCCCCTCTAGCAGTAGCTAGGTTCTACCAGTGGACTTACTGTTCTGCTCTTCATCTGGAAGGTTTAGAAAGGTTTCATTTCAATTATACTAATTGAAGTCTGACAAACTAGGCCAGAGAAACAGGATGGAGATTGATTCCAGTGTATGAAGGACAGTCTCATAGGGATGATCAGTTTTGTGAGATGTGTTAAGTTTTTCAACCACCTGAGTGATGAAGAGGAGACTGTAGAAGACGGATGGAGTCCCATCCTTCTGTGAACACGAACTATCAATGTACAACACCACCGCGGCAGTGCTCATCACTCCTTGCAGTCTGATTCAGGACAAATTACAGTCCTCAGCAAACATGCACGGCCTCTACCCACAGGCAGCACTTGCTTACTGTGCCTAAACTGACTTTTGGACCAGCAAGTACCATTTACAGGTACCTTAATCAGATTTACGGAGATCCAAACGTGTGTATCGAGAGCCTAATCTCCTATTTCAGAAACCTCAGTTACACAGTATTTTCCTGTGACAACGTTGAAGTAAATGGCCATTTTCCAGCATGTCAGATGTGGGAAAAAGCCTGCAAAAATTAACCTGACAGAAATGCAGCGAGTTTCAGAACTTGAGCTGGGCGAGGTCTGTCAGGTGTTCTAGCACAGGGGAAGTCCGTGTTTACAAACTGCAGAATCTCTGACAGGGGGTGTTCCCTCTACAAAACCTTGGTTGTCACACTGTCTGCTACGTTTTCAGTATATATCCTCTGCTCTACACAGCAAAACCCAACTGCCACCTTGACTGTGTATCCCTTTAGGGCAGAGAGCTAAGGCTAAACAGGACTTTGACTAAAAGAAGAACTGATTCTGGCCTGTGGGTTTGAGCTAACGGATTCGACATTAGCCATGACTTTGGACTTTACTCTGGCAAAGCTAACTGGAAATTATATTTAATACATGATTATATTTTATTTACACTTACAATTTATTCTGTTTTAACATTACTTTGGCTGCTCATAGCAAGAGTTTTGCTTTTCCTAGCCTTTTGCTGCTACTTTCCATTTACTAACACTGTCAGCACTGACAAAACTTACTCTGCTGCAGGACCTAAAGACGGTCTTGATTCTTCTAAAGGAAAGACAGCAAATTTAGAAGTTGCCTCTGTGTGAATGATGTTTCTGGCTCATGCTAGGCAATGATGCAAAACTGTACTTTTGCTTTAAGGCTTGCCAACCATTTCTGGAACTGGCTTTCTTTTGATATGTTTTTGATGGTAGAGTATATATTTTCCTTTACATTTTTAAGAAAGTGGTCCTACACAAATCAAAGGGACAATCTGGGGTTGTCTTGTCCACCCAAGAGTAGCTAACGAACAGAGTACTGTACTACCAAACTGGGAAACAGAGTATTCTCCCAGGTTCACACAAAATCATTCATCTTGGAAAAAACCTAACCCCAACCCTGCTATGCAGGTTGGAGGAAAGAGATTAAGCATTTATCATTACGTAGCTTGAATTTCACATAAATGGTAACCAATGACTGGGAAAGCCTAGGTTTTGAGCTGTTACACAGCAACAGCAAAGAAATATCCCATGGCAAAGAAAGCCTCTGAGGTGCTATGGAGAAAAGACTGAAGTGTTCAAAAGACACCAAAAAATATTTTGGGCTTAATGTTCACACTGTTTTACTAATCCTTTTCCAGAGATATCAAATGGGTGTGTAGTAACTTCAGTACTGCCAAGCAACGTTAATATTTCTAAAGAATTGTACATCTTTTTTATCATATAGAAATTACATGTAAAATCGACTTGAGAAGCAGTAAAACCAATTCTCTGAATACATATCCATTGTTCTTGTGAAGGACCACTTTACATTCTACTGGAACACTGTAATTTAGAAACGCAAAAGTATGCCTGGCTGTTTTAGTATCTTTTCCTCTTTGAAGTGTTCAACAGATGTTTAAAAAGAAAAATGTATTGTGAAACTAATTTTAAAAGATTAATAAATATCTGACTGTAGAATTTAAGGAAATCTAGGAAATGTCACCTTCATTATTTTACCCTACTTCATAGCAGACTCTTCAACTGCGGACTAAGATGGTTGTGAGTTACAGGACTGGAATGATGTGTCTAGGATTCCAGTACTGCAGGTGTTTATTCTGTCACAGCCGTGGACAACTCACATAAATTTGTATGCTACCCTTCTGTAGATGTTAAGAATTACTCATCGAGAATAAACAGTTTTAGGGAGGCTTAATTCTCAATAAAATCTAGCATTAAAAATGTAAAGCAAGGTTATGTTCTGAATTACTCAATCTATCAAAGAATTTTTACTATCTTTAAAGAAAATGCATGCCAGAATGTTAAGGACTGCCTTGGCAATCCTTAAGACTGGCATTGATACTTTTAACAGGGAAATACTTTTCAGTGAATACACATACTTTTGCTTTTCTCTACTTTCTATACTTTTGCTTTTCTGCATCTGTTCTATTTATGCTTTCCAGCCCTGTTAACATCACCGTATTCCTCTACTTTTGTCTTTATTCTCTGTAATCCGATACGCACTGCACACTCTTGGCTATTAACACAGTGGATGCAGCACTCCTTCGGGGATTGACTGTGGCAGTGGACGCAGTACCCCCTCTTCAATTAGCACGGTTAGCTCGATCTGCCCCACCGAGCTGAAAGCAGTGTCTAGGATGGCCCCTAACATTCCCTTGGAAATGGAGCTTCCCGGTGTCAAGATTGTACACGCTCAGTTTAACACACCTATGCAGTTGTACTCAGATGACAATATCATGGAAACACTGCAAGGCCAAGTTTCTACAGCTCTGGGGGAAGCACCCATAATAAGGTAACCTGAGCAGTATCTATAATATTTATGAATAACAAATTTAGAATATACAGCAGTCATGAGCTTTAATAATATCGCACTGTTTCTACGAAAATGGGCAAAAGGGTTAGAGAGAGCCTAAATCATTTAAAGCCATTCAATATTTCCATTCAAATATTATTAATTTATGATTTTTAATGCAAAGTATTAAACGAGTCTTTCAGAATTTGCAAATAAATATTTCATAGGAAATAATCTTACAGTTGTAGCTAATAAATAAAAACTGATGATACTAGCTGGACTGTTAGCTGACTGACCACTCCAAATCAAGATTCTGATTCCCTCCAGAATTCAGAACTATTTATAATTGCTGTCATAATTATTTACCTAATAAGAATTGTATAACCTATTAACACTTAATAAAATATTATTATTAACTCAAATTTTCAACTGTTGAAAATCAGGTTATGAGGCTTAGGAAATCCTGTAGATGTTTACAGTGTTCTAGATATTTAACTCCCATTCAGGACAACTCATTCAGTATGACTAGGTCTTGTCCAAAGAGAGCCAGAATTGACTTCGTAGGACTACTGATCCATCTCTGACTTGTGAATTTATCCATTGCAGTAACCAAAAGTCAGGTAGGAACTTTATGTGTAACAATGATGATTATGCGATAAAAAGTTTTAAAGCACTATTCACTTTTTTCAAGGGACAACTCATCACTCACCTTGCTTTAATTTTGCATACTAGTAACTTATTTTTCTGTTTTACAACACTAATTAAGTTAATAATTCATAATAGAATCATAGAGTCATAAAATGGTTAGGGTTGGAAGGGACTTTAAAGATCATCTAGTTCCAACCCTGGGATATGTAAGGTCTAAACTAAAGCTAATTACTAATATTTTAAATAAGCAATAATCACTGGCACCAATGAGCCTTCTTCAGCACCTTGCAGAATTGGGCTGTCACTAATAATATAAATCATGTTCGTATAGTATTTGTGTTCACTCTATTTGATGAAAACTGTAGCTCGTTAAGTCTTTGCAGAGTGATGTTACTCTACTGGGTGAATATTTATCCTCAATCACAACAATTAGAGAAGAATAAAAGAAAAAATTGCTTTTTCTTTGTTCTGAAATCATGGATTAAGCCCAGAGTAATCATATTTCACAAATGCCTGTCGTATTCCCAGTTTGAGAACTAATATCTACACAGGTTTGAAATGACTCTTTTGGTATGGGATTGATTTCCACTTTATATGCATTTAGAAATGTTATCTCACACCTTTGTGTCTGTTTTTTTTGCTTTCTGTATGTAATGGTATTATCACTTGATTGCTGTTTAGAAATAGGTTAATAAAGAGAAGAGAAGCAAGGGTTTAATTAGTTTTTACAGTTCTCACCAACGACTAAACCCCTATGCATTAAAACCTGTCACTAGAAAAGAAAGTGATAGTTGCTTCGCTGGCTTGAAGACAGATCAGAGAAATCCATTGATTGATGAAGAGGCAAACAATTAACATAAGCAACAGGGGTCACAGCCCAACTGCCACTGCTCTCACTGTGCCATTTGACAGCTGAGATGCCACCCTGGGAAACAAACCAAACCGTATAAAGCAAAATCCAGTCTAATTCCTTGTGGAATTAATTGCTTATTTCCAGTTGAAACTTACCTACGGTTTAACAAGCAGTAGGAGGACAATTGTGACAGGAGATTAAAACTGGACATTTATGCATATATCATATATTTGGACCTTTCTAATTAGTCCCAGTAACAGTTTGAAATCCACAGATGCCACATATTGAACTTAATTCCCGCTGGTGCATATAGTCATCTACTCTTCCTCTCAATGACTTAGGACGTTAGTTATCATGGTCAATTTAAAATATTCAGCACAGTTTAAAATACCATGAAATATTCTTGGTAAAATCTTTGGCTCACAGATCATTAAAAGTTTAACCATCAACTGTTGTTTGGACAATAATTTACTTTATCTTTTTAACATAAAATTGGCATTACAAAAAGCAAGCCATGTCCCACTGTAGTTTCTAAGGATACGAGCTGTGATTTTAGCAATATTCTTGAGGCCAGCTGCTGTGAAAATGGGACTTCTGGATACTGGACCAAAGAACACCTGGTAATACAACAGTTGATCACAGGAATGCAACTGCTTTGAGGTCAAACATAGGTACCAGTCTGTTTCCAAATGCCATTGGAGCCAGAACAGGCATTATGGAAATACTTTCATGAGTTTGTAGATACAGTTTTGCAACAAACGCACAGATTTATTTTTTCAGCACTTTTTAGATCAAGAAGAGGCTATATAAAGCAATGCTACCTGGAAGAAAGAGTCTTTCAGTAGCTGTAGAAACACACTGTCATTAGCTTTGTTTCAATATTTGAATCATATTCCATGCCTGGTAGAGCTATTGCTTTAAAGTCATGTTTGTTAAACTGCTTTACCCGCTCTTCCTCCCTGTGATACAGTGACCCAACTCCCAACGCAGTGCCTCAGTCTGACGTGTACAAGATGCTGCATGCCAACCAGGAGGAGCCCACTCAACCTCGCCAGTCTGGCTCCTTTAAGGTGCTCCAGAATTTAGTCTCCGAGGAAGGTGGTTAATAATGACATATTCTACCTGTTCAAAGCGTTTTTAAATGTTTGTGGGAAGGGGGAATCTGAGAAGAAAATATGGGAGATCAGAGCTACAAGAATTTCTGAAAGCCCACGTCACCCTGAAGCTTACAGATAGCACAGCAGCCTCCTAACATCGTCCCCCTTGCTTTTATAGCTAACCGTCTCCTGTGTGGCTAAAGTGGGGGCATTAATCACATTTTTCAGGATCTCCTCTCATATTTTATAATCGTTAATGTCCAAAGTTGACTTTAACTGAGTGATGAAAAGTTTTATGTGAGAGAATTTTTGGGACGAGCTGCATAAACTCCTGACACCAAGAAAGAAAACACTCTCTTCCTCATCCAGGAAAAGAGAAATTTAAACCAACTCCTACAATACGTTTCACCCATCCCCTCTTCGTTCTAAATAAAAATTGAAGAGGACAATATAATTACAGTCATATTTCCTTCAAATGAAGAAGTTTTGAAAATAACATTACTAAAGACTGCAAGTTTGATATATTTACAGGAAGTGTAAAGAATAAAATGCAACCAAAATTTGCCTGAAAAGTAAATATTCAAAGTTTTTATTTTTATATCTCAGTACTTACCAGAAAAAGGGATACATACATATAAATGTATATATATATATACACTATTGTGGGATTTTGCTTGGCATTTTCTTATATTTTGCTATAAGTTTGTGTCTATATCATGTTACTAATCTTCCCGAATTTGATGTATGGCTAGTTATATACATAAGAAACTTTCTAACAATAGGTCTTGACTATGTTATGTTGCTGTGTTAAAGCCAAATCCACCTCCTTCTCCTGCTACACCACAGACCTGCCATCAGAAAATTAGATGCTGTCTATGAGGCAGGTTGAACTCTACATATAATCCCTTTGGTACTTGCTTTTTGGCTACAACCACACAATATTTTTTCCCGCTTCCAAAGAGGTGGAATCTGTCTCACTAAACTTGTACAGAGAAACTTCAGTGTTTGTAGATATAAGTGAAAGCCCGTAAATACATCCAGAAGTGTATTTACAGCAAAAGTACTTAACTGCATCAGATGCTGTAATATTAGCATGTACCTAAGAAGATTGTTTTGGTTCTCAGATGGACGCCCCGTGGGTACAAGAAGTGTGAAAGCACCTGTCACAAAGATACCTACTGCCATGCCTGGTGTCCAGAAAGTGCCACTGTGTGACAAGTGTGGGAACGGGATTCTGTAAGTTGTTTCTTCTTAGTTTTAGATATCTCTAGTTCAAGCACGTGTCCTCAAACCCCACCACAGACTACAGGAATGCTTTCCCAGGGGTGGTCTTGGTCTCCATCTGTACTAGGAGAAAAATTTTTCTAGAGAATGGAGATATAAAAATACATTGTTCTAATCTCAAATTATTAGCCTGTACCTTAGACACTTTCCATACAGATTATCTCAGTTTTGACAATGTACCGCCAAGGCTTTAACTAAGATTGCTCAGGACCTTTTGCAAGTCAATCATTAGCACATACACAACGAGACCAGCAGTTACCTGTGCTGCGGTGCCTCGGGCTCCGAATTCTCCAAAGTCTCTTGGTAGTGTAAAGCATCCATCTCCCAAGCCAGCGGGAGTATCCAGAAAGCTCTGTGGGCCTATTTTAAAACTACCAGATTTCTGTCTGAAGGAAAGTATCACTAACTAGCAAAGAGCACAGGTAAAGATGACCTCAGAGGAGAGTCGGTGAGGAACTGTGGGTATTAAACTCATTTTGTCACCATTCTACCAGGTTAGACTGTACTTTCTGTGTTGTAGCCAAACTAACACGTTTCTTCAAACTCTAGTTTTCCAATGAACGATTTAACTATGTGATCAACTCTACGGTTCTTTATGTCATTTACTCAAACCCAGCTTCCAACCTTAAGTTATCTAGCAGTTGGGAAAACTGCCAGACAACCAACCTAAAAGCCTGAAGACAAATACCTAGACGTGACTTTGTGTCACCCTGTAGCTGCTTCTCACTTCAAATTCCTATGAATTAATTGGGTTTTTTCCTTTTCCTTGTTTCCATGCAGAGGAACAGTGGTGAAGGCACGTGATAAATACCGGCACCCAGAATGTTTTGTGTGCTCTGACTGCAACCTCAACCTGAAGCAAAAAGGCTACTTCTTTGTGGAGGGCCAGCTGTACTGCGAAGCTCATGCACGAGCTCGCATGAGGCCACCAGAAGGATACGAAGCAGTTACCGTTTACCCAAAATGCTAGTCTTAGGGCAACACGCGAACACATGCATGCACACAAAGAGCCATTAACAGCTTAGAACTGCAGTACAACTGTCAGGACTTCTGCCCGATCCCAAAGTAGCAGCTTTTAAACCTTGTCTTGTGGGATTCTGAGGGAGATGGAAGTCCCTGTTAGCCAGCAGTAGCATATTGTACCAGTAAAATTCTGCTAAAATACCATCTTTGAAGTTGCCAGTGTAACTCACTGAAGTATAAACTAAACCAGCTGCACTGGAATAAAAACCAAAAAGTGACACAGCTGAGGTATTCCATGATTACTACAGTATGTAATTAAGACATTGTTTTTAACGTAAATTAAGTATCTGTGCAAACACCAAAGCCACCAAAGTGTTGTAAGGCTGGGCCATAAAAATGTCAAAACTTGACAGATCATTAGAAAAGCAGCTATTTTACATGGATCTTACAAAACAAGCAGTTGTTCATGTCTGCTTCCACCATCCATTATTCAACTACCATTAATGTATGCCAAAAATAGATTCTGCTTACTTTGCTTTGAATTTAGGGTTATATTGACTTAATTTTCTGATGCAGTAACTGTGATAAGGAATAAATGTCAAGTCATACAATACAAAGGCTAGCATAATAAAAGACTGTTTAGTAGGAAGCAAAACAGAAGTTCTACGTTGTTTTAATGATTTGCAATGAAATTGGCTTTCGCACCACTTAGTAGAAAATTATTCTGAGGCATGCACACACATCTGTTGGTTTTCGGGGGGGGAAAAAAACCCAACACACTAATAGGAACTCACTGCAAATTGAAAAGGAAAGCAAATTTAAAAACCTTTCTGCAGAAAATGGTACTGGTTTCTTTGCATCTCCATGTTTCAATTTCCATGCTAGAAACAACAGGGAAACAGCAGCATAATATCTTTCTTGCTGGTAAATTAAAATTTGGACAACTTTAAAAGTAAATGTTAATTAAAACATGCAAAGGAAACATCTTTTATAAAAAGCCTGGTGAAGTCCTAAGAAAAGACTGAAAGAATCCAGTTTTTAAATGAATTACTGAAATTTTTTAAGGGCTACATTGCTTCCAGGTAGGTGCCAGCTACATATACACACCTGACTGACAAACCAAACCTTAGCGTTTCCAAAAATACCAACACAATTCATGAATTATTTACTGGGGTATTGTGAACCCATTTTGAAGTAGAAAACTCTCCAGAATTTTATATCAAGTCTACAAGAATAGCAGAAATTACCAACTCAGTGCAAACAACCTTACATATTTTTCCCATTCCACCATATAAGAAGCTTAAAATGTAAGAAGAATATGGAAAAAAAAAAAGTAGCTGTACATACTTTAAATTTGTTTTAAAACTTCAGGTGATTCCCAAAGCTTGAAATACCATGTCCACATTTTCAAAGACTTTTCAAATGTCTTAAATTATTATTTCAGAATTTAAATGTTTTAAAAATGTGTGTGACACTGCACATGCCATTTATGTCTGCATATGAAGATCAGACATAAAAAAAAGGCATTGCACCCTTTTAAAGGTTAGCTCCTGAATTAATCTTGGGCCCAAAACACAATTCTGCTCCTCACGTATCATGGAGGCTATATGTAGCATTTATGTTTTTCCACTGATAAAATCCACAAGATAAACCTGAAAATCCTTTTGAAAGTGAGAGTGCAAATAATGTCTATTTTTACAAACCTAAAATGTCATCAGTGTTTTAAAATATCTGCTTAATGTTCATTTCTTTGTTGAGTAACTGAAGGTAAAAATAAATCTACTACATCTGACAAAGATTCTGTATTTCTTTTCACCTGGTATGAAAAACGAGAAAGTGTGTCAACTGACTTGACGATAATAGAGGTTTGGCATTTTCAGCCTGACAGAGGAGTGTGCTCCGGATTTATCAAACTGCTGGCAATAATGAGACACAATTCTTGCATTAGGCATCTGAGTATGTCATCTGGGCAAAATTAGCTTTCCAGAACTGAAAGAGACGATGTGCTTTCAAAACCGAAGATCCAAAACTGTTCTCTCTTTAACTGGTCAAACACACCAATTGTAAATGGGGGGAAACCCAGGAAATATACGTACAAGGACTGTTAGGTTAAAAGAAAGTCAAAGAACATGACCTGATGCCAAAACTCTGGGGAAAGTTCAGTGGTATTGCATCAGCCCATGGTGCTATTTTGAGAGTTTGAGGTTGGACATGACTTTGATAGAATTACAAGGTAAGCCTATCTAATTGCAAGTACCGACCTATGTGAAAACCTTTACACCGGTATCACATGAAGGAAACCAAGACTTCCAGTTAACGCAGACTCTAAAATCCTTGATCCTAACAAGAGGAGATAAACAGGAAACCTCATCCTACAGTCACTTCATTGAATATGGAAATTTAAATGCGAGAGAAAGACATAGCAAATCTATCACGTGCTCAAGGCTGAATTCTTTATCTCAGTAGGGGGTCAGTGGTTCCTGGCACAAATCCTTCACGAAGTGTCCAGCTAAAGAACTATCCACTTAGGAATGGCATAGCCAGTACATCATGACAGCTTAATGCTACTATGCCTCTCAGCCTAATGCTACTCTGTCTCTCAGCTGGGTCCAGACTTTTAGATATATGTATTACAAGCCGCAGAGAGCCACGGCATTTATTTTTAGATGGAAAGAAAGATAGTAAGTGTGACTTCACATGCTTGTTATCTCAGCTCCTCAGATGTTGATCAGCAGGTGTGAAAAGCTTCCCTCAGCCATGCTACTGCCGCATGAACAGCAGGGCCGTTCTGGGAGATCTCAAAAACTTACATGAAACTGTAATTCTCCAAATGAGTAAGCCAAAAATTGCATATGGAAATAGAGAGATTAAATTATATGGTAGTTTTGTATCCATTGTTCCAATACAAATACTTTTGGTCTTTTTAGTAATGCTGAAGTGTCGCCAACAATTTGAAACCTTAAAAGTTCTCTGAAGAAGTCATTGCAAGAAACTATGTTGTTTCTATTGACCCAATAACTTTCTTCAGTGCCCATAGTGGTTTCCTTTATGATGAAATTCAACTAGTTGATCCCTGGGAGCACTGCCTATGCACACCAACCACTAATGGAAAGTCAGCCCGCAGAATCAGACTGCAGCTAAATAGCCCCTCCCAGAAACACATATTGGGTAGACGCCAGGTGGTCAATACCCACTGACCTGCTCCTGCTGCACCACGCTGCCTGCTGATGCAGACAGGGCTGGAAGCATCTCCTGCAACCTTCATGTAGGAAAAATATCCTAACAGAAATTAAATTACTGCCTGTTTAAAACTAGAGATATATCCAGCCTCAGAACATGCACCCAGCTTCAGATGTTCCAAAGCTCAGGGGTGTTTGACCAAGAATTTTGGTTCGGACTTTTATAAACCATGTCAAAGGGAACTGTGCAGTTGGATGTAGATCTGAGTTGCACGTAAACCACATGCACTTGATTGAAACTCTGCTTTAGGGGGACCTTTTCAACAAGGAAAAGACTATTATTTACCTAGTGGCTTCATACATTTATAAATAAAATGTTGGGAAGTAAAACATGTTTGTTGGCACATATCCAGCAAATTTTATCTCTAAGGGCAGCCATACTCCTCAGATTTACCCTTTTGTGTTTCTTTATTTTCTCCTCCCATCCAAGCAAGCTGTTCAGATAGAGTCTTCCAAAATGGTTAACAAGAAAACTTCCACAAGCAGATCATTCCTTTTTTTCTTAATGCATGAAATTTTAAAATAAAATGCATACAAGTCTTCAGCATATGCTCAGTAACAACTAAAATCTTTGCATCCGCAGCATGTGCTTGATAAGTAATATTATCGACACAATGTCCAAATTCACAGAGGATTTTGTTACTATATATGGTGAAGCACACATTTGTTTTAGCATACCGAGGGAGTGTTTTTAGTTACACTCACTCTACCTAATCCTCCCTCTCCCCACACCAGGGCACGATCCAAAGACCAGTAAAGCTTTTACGAGAGTCTTGAAAGATTGTATATTCTATTACCCTGAAAAAAGTGCTCTCTTTGGCAAAGACTAGGACAGTTGTCCAACATAAAACTTTAAAGAAGTACTGTTTCATACAGCTCGTGCGCTGACAAAATCACAGCTGTGTGGGACTGACAAATCCAGAAACACAGAAAATGTAGTTAAACATTATTATCTATCACTCAGAAAACAAAATATTTAGTAAATACCAAGAGGATTCTGAGCAAAAGGAAAAATCTCTTGCAAGCATTTCACAGTCTTTCTTTTCCAGAGACTGTTCAAAACCAGATTTTATAGAAATCTCATTCTCTGCATAGTGATTTTTTTAAAATCTTTTAGTATATCCTTGATTTAAGAAGTTTTTAATTATCCTGCTAAACCGGCAGCCTATAAAAAGTTAAATATTGATTAGACCAGATACACTATAAAAGCATGACTGGGAGAACAGTATGTTCAACGGAAAAAAAGAAAGTAACAAAGAGTAATATATGCAGCCAAATTTTCTCAGCACATTCAGGCCAAAACCAAGTTTCCATATTACAGCAAAGAGCAATGTTGGTTATGATTTTACACAAAACCTGTAGGTTGTCAGCAGCCATACCTTACACTCCTGTCACAAGGCACGGAAACATTCAGTCCATTTGCATGCAGGAAGGAATCTATGTTTCCCAGCACCGGCTTTGCAGACCGTGCAGTGAGAAGGTGCTTGCAGGTTGTGCAGATAAAGCACAGTCAGGTAGTTTTCTCTGAGCAAGAGTAGATCCCAAGGGGAAATATGTGACTGCAGAAATTACAGGCAGTCTTTTGGCCCACTTACAGGTAAAATATCCTTTCCACATAGAATCACAGGATGGTTTGGGTTGGAAGGGACCTTAAAGACCATCCAGTTCCAACCCCCCCTGCCATGGGCAGGGACACCTTCCACTAGACCAGGTTGCTCAAAGTCTCATCCAGCCTGGCCTTGGAGACTTCCAGGGATGGGGCATCCACAGCTTCTCTGGGCAACCTGTCCCAGTGCCTCACCACCCTCTCTGGGAAGAACTTCTTCCTGATATCCAATCTAACCCTCCCCACTTTCAATTTAAACCCGTTACCCCTTGTTCTGTCACTACAGGCCCTTGTAAAAAGTCCCCCCCAGCTTCCTTGTAGCCCCTTCAGGTACTGGAAGTACCTGAATATATTAAGTTTGTGTATGGAACCCATTCAACCTATTAATTATGAATGAATGGTACCTATTCAGTAATCATACT